CACTCCAACCACTACACCTCACTCCCCTCCCAGAGCCGGAGATAGAACCCAGGAGTCTTGGCTCCTTGCCTGATATATTGAGCTAGGATACGCGCCCACCACCCCCCGTTCATGTAGCCACGGCCCTGGCCGGTCCCTTCCCTGGGCAGGATGGGTGATGCCAGCGGTGCCAGGGCACCATCTACTGGTGAAAGCTGCAAACTGCTGCTCTGTGCTCCCTCTGGAGATGGGTGGTGAGTGCCATTCATCTGGGACCCCCAGCGCTGGCCCACCTTCTCCAACTGGGTCCCGCGAGCTTGGGACCCCCCCCCCCCACCCATCCGGGGGACCTCCTCCCAGCCAGCCCCAAACCTCTGGCCTCTCTTGGACTAACTCGGTGCTGCTCTCCCAGCCTGGGTCAGCCGGGAGACGGGAAATCTGCCACTTCCCCAGGAAGTTTGTTCCCACCCCCAGGCCCAAGATTATTAGCGTTAGGCCCAAAGCTGACCGCGAAGAGCTACAAGGGGATCGCCTCAAACCAGCCACACGACGGTGGGTGAAATTCAAGGTTCAGAAGAGCAATGTCAAAATAATTCGAGGGGGTCAAAATTAGTTGCTGCCGCCACTCGCGAACACAATCCTGGCCTCCCTGTGGACCGAGTCTTGGAGAAGGTCAGCCCTACGCGCTGCCAGAACCGGCTCCGAAACCAGCAGGAAAGGGATTGGAAATACGACAGAAAATATGTCGTTGTATGAATCCGTGAAAAGCAAATAGAGAATTCTTCACACAATGCACAATTAACCAGTGGAACTCACTGCCAGAAGGATAACAGGGTTCAAAAAGGAACTGGAGAAGTTCCTGCAGGATAAATCCATCCATGCCTGTCAGCCAAGATGGTCAAGGAAGCCACCCCATGCCCTGGATGACCTTAAATCTGACAGCGAGAAGCCAGGTGTGGAAGACGAGGGGGGATCGCTCCAGGAGTGCCCTGTTCTGTACGCTCCCCTTGAAGCTCTGGCACAAGCCGCTGTTGGGGACAGGAAACTGGGCTAGATGGATCATGATGTGACTCACCACGGCCGCTGTTAGGTTCTTAAGGCCTTGTTTGCAACTGGAAATTGTCTGGATTTATCTCCCAGGCACTGGATCCTGCTCTGACTTTCTCCTCTAGATTAAAGACCAGTTGGCACCTCAGATTTCCCCCCTCCCCGCGAAGGTGCTTACATGCCGCTATCCACCCACCTTGCGATCTCCCAAACGAAACAGCCCGCGCTCCTTCAATCTCCCCCACTCAGGCGTCTTCTCCAGCCCTGGGGCCATTTCTGTGACTCTTCTCGGCATCCTCTCCAGGTCCTTTGGAAAAGGGGGGGAGAGATTCCTGGCGTCTGGCCATGGGGTGGATGGGGCAGATGTCGACTGGCCAGCCATCCGCCACATGGCTGTACAAGGTCTTGGACCACGGGAGAAAGAGGGTCTTGGACCACCGGTGTTGATTTTCAACACATCTTGGAGCCCAGACATCTGGGGAAGGCCCAGAAGACAGCTAATGTTTGGCCAGTGTTTAAAAGGGGTGAATGGGACGACCCAGGTAATGACAGGCCGGTTCTCTGGACACTGGGCAAGATAATGGAAGGGCCGGCGTGGGGCTTGGTTAATAAAGAATGAAAGGAGGGTGATGTAATTAATGCCAATTATCATGGAAAGACTGGTAGAGGGACTGTCTCCGGCTGTGTCTGGGCAGCGCCCGGCACGACGGGGCCCTGATCCCAGCTGGGGCAGCGACTGTCTCCGGCTGTGTCTGGGCACCCCCACGCGGGCCTGATCCCAGCTGGGGCAGCGACTGTCTCCGGCTGTGTCTGGGCAGCGCCCGGCACGACGGGGCCCTGATCCCAGCTGGGGCAGTGACTGTCTCCAGCTGTGTCTGGGCAGCGCCCGGCACGACGGAGCCCTGATCTCAGCTGGGGCAGCGACTGTCTCCGGCTGTGTCTGGGCAGCGCCCGGCACGACGGAGCCCTGATCTCAGCTGGGGCAGCGACTGTCTCCGGCTGTGTCTGGGCAGCGCCCGGCACGACGGGGCCCTGATCCCAGCTGGGGCACACTGTCTCCTTTACACCTATCTCACTCGATTCTCCGCTGTTCTGGCACCCCAGCACGCGGGGCCCTGATCCCAGCTGGGGCAGCGACTGTCTCCGGCTGTGTCTGGGCAGCACCCGGCACGACGGGGCCCTGATCTCAGCTGGGGCAGCGACTGGCTCTGGCTCTGTCTGGGCAGCGCCCGGCACGACGGGGCCCTGATCCCAGCTGGGGCAGCGACTGTCTCTGGCTCTGTCTGGGCAGCGCCCGGCACGACGGAGCCCTGATCCCAGCTGGGGCAGCGACTGGCTCTGGCTCTGTCTGGGCAGCGCCCGGCACGACGGAGCCCTGATCCCAGCTGGGGCAGCGACTGTCTCTGGCTCTGTCTGGGCAGCGCCCGGTACGACAGGGCCCTGATCCCAGCTGGGGCAGCGACTGTCTCCGGCTGTGTCTGGGCAGCGCCCGGCACGACGGGGCCCTGATCTCAGCTGGGGCAGCGACTGGCTCTGGCTCTGTCTGGGCAGCGCCCGGCACGACGGGGCCCTGATCTCAGCTGGGGCAGCGACTGTCTCCGGCTGTGTCTGGGCAGCGCCCGGCACGACGGGGCCCTGATCCCAGCTGGGGCAGCGACTGTCTCCGGCTGTGTCTGGGCAGCGCCCGCACGCGGGCCCTGATCTCAGCTGGGGCAGCGACTGTCTCCAGCTGTGTCTGGGCAGCGCCCGGCACGACGGGGCCCTGACCCCAGCTGGGGCAGCGACTGTGTCCGCTGTTCTGGGCAGCGCCCGTACGACGGAGCCCTGATCTCAGCTGGGGCAGCGACTGGCTCTGGCTCTGTCTGGGCAGCGCCCGGCACGACGGAGCCCTGATCCCAGCTGGGGCAGCGACTGGCTCTGGCTCTGTCTGGGCAGCGCCCGGCACGACGGAGCCCTGATCTCAGCTGGGGCAGCGACTGTCTCTGGCTCTGTCTGGGCAGCGCCCGGACGACAGGGCCCTGATCCCAGCTGGGGCAGCGACTGTCTCCGGCTGTGTCTGGGCAGCGCCCAGCACGACGGGCCCTGATCCCAGCTGGGGCAGCGACTGGCTCTGGCTCTGTCTGGGCAGCGCCCGGCACGACGGGGCCCTGATCCCAGCTGGGGCAGCGACTGTCTCCGGCTGTGTCTGGGCAGCGCCCGGCACGACGGGGCCCTGATCTCAGCTGGGGCAGCGACTGTCTCTGGCTCTGTCTGGGCAGCGCCCGGCACGACGGGGCCCTGATCCCAGCTGGGGCAGCGACTGTCTCCGGCTGTGTCTGGGCAGCGCCCGGCACGACGGGGCCCTGATCCCAGCTGGGGCAGCGACTGGCTCTGGCTCTGTCTGGGCAGCGCCCGGCACGACGGAGCCCTGATCTCAGCTGGGGCAGCGACTGGCTCTGGCTCTGTCTGGGCAGCGCCCGGCACGACGGGGCCCTGATCTCAGCTGGGGCAGCGACTGGCTCTGGCTCTGTCTGGGCAGCGCCCGTGCACGCGGGGCCCTGATCTCAGCTGGGGCAGCGACTGGCTCTGGCTCTGTCTGGGCAGCACCCGGCACGACGGGGCCCTGATCCCAGCTGGGGCAGCGACTGGCTCTGGCTCTGTCTGGGCAGCACCCGGCACGACGGGGCCCTGATCCCAGCTGGGGCAGCGACTGGCTCTGGCTCTGTCTGGGCAGCGCCCGGCACGACGGGGCCCTGATCCCAGCTGGGGCAGCGACTGGCTCTGTCTCTGTCTGGGCAGCGCCCGGCACGACGGGGCCCTGATCTCAGCTGGGGCAGCGACTGGCTCTGTCTCTGTCTGGGCAGCGCCCGGCACGACGGGGCCCTGATCTCAGCTGGGGCAGCGACTGTCTCCGGCTGTGTCTGGGCAGCACCCGCACGGCGGGCCCTGATCCGAGCTGGGGCAGCGACTGGGCTCTGTCTTGTCTGGGCAGCGCCCGGCATGCGGGCCTGATCTCAGCTGGGGCAGCGACTGGCTCTGTCTCTGTCTGGGCAGCGCCCGGCACGACGGGGCCCTGATCCCAGCTGGGGCAGCGACTGGCTCTGTCTCTGTCTGGGCAGCGCCCGGCACGACGGGGCCCTGATCTCAGCTGGGGCAGCGACTGGCTCTGGCTCTGTCTGGGCAGCGCCCGGCACGACGGGGCCCTAATCTCAGCCGGGGCAGGGACTGTCTCCCCCAGATCAGGTCAGCAGGGAGTTGGGGGGCGCCTGCTGTCACCTCCTCAGTTCCTGCCACACACATTCAGTCTCGCCTCTTCTCCAGCCGCTGCGCCCCCCGAGGGCTGACCTGCCTTCGTCTAATTCGAGGGCAAACCCTCCCGTCCCCGATTCATCCCCCTCCCTGCGACTCGCCGCACCCCCATTTCCATTCCCCACTAGTCCAGCTTCCCCGGCCAGCCGCTGGATCAGGGGCTGCACCTAAGAACCCTCGAAGATCTGGTGCCCCCCTGTGGCTGAGTCCCTCACACTCTGTGTCCTCCCACCACCCTAGGAGGCAGGGCGAGGCTGTGACGCTTCCCCTCTCTCCCTCGCCTTGGGCAGATGGGGAAACTGAGGCAGGGAGTGGCCAGTGGTCAGGGCGCACTGCGTTCACAGTACCCCGGCCCCGACCCCCTCCGTTATTCCTTCAGCCCCCCACTTCCTTCCCTCCAACCACGCCCCTCGCATTCCTGGCTCCGCCCCCGCTTCCTCCTGGACGTTCTCACCCCGCCCCGGCTCCGCCCCCGCTTCCTCCTGGACGTTCTGACCCCGCCCCGGCTCCGTCTTTGCTTCCTCCTGGACGTTCTGACCCCGCCCCGGCTCCGCCCCCGCTTCCCCCTGGACGTTCTGACCCCGCCCCAGCTCAGTCTTTGCTTCCTCCTGGACGTTCTGACCCCGCCCCGGCTCCGCCCCCGCTTCCCCCTGGCCGTTCTGACCCCGCCCCTTTCCCGCCCTGTCTCCTCCCCCATTTCCTCCTGACCGTTCTGACCACGCCCCCTCTGCTTTTGGTTTCCGGGTCGGTCGCCCCACGCGCGGCCCCCGGGCCGTAAAGTGAGGCCAGCGGGGAGCGAGTGAGTGAGATGGGGCGGCTCGGGGGGCAGAGCTGGGGTCACGTAGTGGGGGTTGGGGGGGGAACAGAAGCCGGCGGTGGGGGGAGGGGAAATACAGGAGCACGTGGGTCTGGGGGGCATGGGGGGGGAGGGAGAGGTAGGTTGGGGGGATGTTGGGGGAAGGGCGGTAGCGGGTGGGGGTCACATGGGAGATGGAGAGGCTGGGGGGAGGGAGCGATGTGTAGGGCGGAGGGGGACGTCTGGGGGGGGTTTAGATCAGGCGAGGGGGGACCTGTGGGATCTGGAGGGGGGGCCAGGGGATGCGGGAGACGGTGGGTGAGGAGGAAGGGGGAGTGGACGGGGGCAGAGCTGGGGGTGCTGGGCTGTGTGGGGCGGGGGGGAGGACAGCAGAGTCCATGGGGACTGGGAGGGTCTGTAGGCTGGGCCATGGGGGCGGGGACATGTGGGGGGGAAATATGGGGGGAATGTAGGGGTGGAGGAGTAGGGAGATATGGGGGTTGGTGGGGAAATGTGGGGGGTGGGACATATGGGGGGGCTGTGGAGCTGGGCAACGGGGGGTGACTGGGGGGGGCGGCACGGAGGTCGGGGTGGCCTGAGGCTGGATCTAACCACTCCCTGTTGGCAGGGGGCAGCGTCCGGGATGCTGGAGGAGCTGCAGGAGATGCCAGGGGCCGGGCAGGGGGCAGAGGAGGAAGGAAGCCCCCCAGGGGCCCGGCAGGGGGCAGAGGAGGAAGGAAGCCCCCCAGGGGCCCGGCAGGGGGCAGAGGAGGAAGGAAGCCCCCCAGGGGCCCGGCAGGGGGCGGGTGAGGAGGGGAGCCCCCCACCTAGCGCCCCCGACCCCCCCCAGGGGAAGAAGATCGTGCCAGGCATCGTGTACCTAGGGCACATCCCGCCCCGCTTCCGGCCCCGGCACGTCCGAAACCTGCTCAGCGTCCATGGGGAGGTCGGGCGCATCTTCCTGCAGCCCGAGGGTGAGTCCACGGAGTGTGTGGGGGAGAAGTGGGGGGCTGAGCGGGGCAGGGGGGCTGGCGGAGGCTGTGACGGAGGAGGGTGGGGGGGATGTCGGTTACACAGAAATGCCCTGACCCCTTTGTAGTCACTAAACCTCCCTTGGTGGTTTTCACCCAATATTGGGCGCGAACCCAGGCGTCCTGGCAAAAGCCCCTCTTCAGCGGGAATCGCTGGCTCCGGTTGCCCGTCGGACTCCCCTTCACTTCCTGGCTGAAAATATATCGCGGCGTTATGTGTGGCTGTTCCCCAGCCGCCCCGCCCCAGAGGTGGCTGCATCGCAGCGCCGGGCGGGCCTGGGGCTGGAAGGGGCTTGAGGGGGGTCTGGCGGGGGCTGATCTCTCCGTCCCCCCAGAGCGGTTCGTCCGGCAGAGGAAGAAGAAAGCTGGCGCCAAGGCCAAGAACTACACGGAGGGCTGGGTGGAGTTCAGGGACAAGCGCGTGGCGAAGCTCGTGGCCGCCAGTCTGCACAACACGCCCATGGGCACCCGCCGGCGCAGCCGCTTCCACTACGACCTGTGGAACATCAAGGTACCGGCTCTGGGAGGGGAGTGGGGGCTGGTGGTTAGAGCAGGGGGGCGGGAAGCCAGGACTCCTGGGTTCTCTCCCCGGCTCTGGGTGGGGAGCGGGGTCTAGTGGTTGGAGCAGGGGGCCGCTCCTGTTCTCTCCTAGGCTCTGGGAGGAGAGGGGGTCTAGTGGTTGGGCAGGGGGCTGGGGCAGACTCCTGGGTTCTCTCCCGGCTCTGGGTGGGGGGGGGCTAGTGGTTGGAGCGGGGGGCTGGGGCCAGGGTCTGGGTTCTCTCCCGGCTCTGGGTGGGGAGCGGGGTCTGTGGTTGGAGCAGAGGGGCTGGGAGCCAGGACTCCTGGGTTCTTCTAGGCTCTGGGAGGAGAGGTCTAGTGGTTGGAGCAGAGGGGGCTGGGAGCCAGGAGTCCTGGGTTCTCTCCTAGGCTCTGGGAGGAGAGTGGGGTCTAGTGGTTGGAGCAGGGGGGCTGGGAGCCAGGACTCCTGGGTTCTCTCCCCGGCTCTGGGTGGGGAGCGGGGTCTAGTGGTTGGAGCAGGGGGGGCTGGGAGCCAGGAGTCCTGGGTTCTCTCCCCGGCTCTGGGAGGGGAGCGGGGTCTAGTGGTTGGAGCAGGGGGGGCTGGGAGCCAGGACTCCTGGGTTCTCTCCCCGGCTCTGGGTGGGGAGCGGGGTTCAGCCGGTCAGAGGCAGTGAGGCGTCCGTCTGTCCGTCCGTCCCCGCAGTACCTGCACCGGTTCAAGTGGCCGCACCTGAGCGAGCGGCTGGCCTACGAGCGGCAGGTCCGGCAGCAGCGTCTGCGGGCCGAGATCTCCCAGGCCAAGCGCGAGACCAGCTTCTACCTGCGCAGTGTGGAGACCAGCCAGCGCTTCGCCCGCCGGGCCGCCACCGCCCCCGCCCCCGCCGGCGGGGAGAAGAGCTGGGGCTTCGTCCAGCGCCCCACGGAGGAGGAGATCCAGAGGCGCAAGGCGGGCGCGGGCGGGTGCCGGCTCCGTGGGCAGCTGGCCAAGGCCCGGGAGATCCAGCTGAAATCCCAGACCAGCCGCTCCTTGCTGGCCAAAATCTTCAACGCCACGGACGCTGCCTCGGAGAAGGCACCGGGGGGGCCGGATCTGTAGTGAGAACCCCAGGCGCCGGGGGGCGCCGTGCTACGGGGAGTGGGGCAGGGGGCTGGGCCGGGGGTGCTCTCCCCTGGCAGTCAGGGCCGGGCACTAGGGGGTGCTGTGCTGTGGAGAATGGGGCAGGGGAGCTTCTGGGTTCTCTCGCGGCTCTGGTGGGGGAGTGGAGTCCAGTGGGGTTGAGTGGGAGTTGCTGGGAGCCAGGACTCCTGGGTCCTATGCCTGGCTCTGGGAGGGGAGTGGGGGCTAGTGGTTAGAGCAGGGGGGGCCTGGGAGTTCCCATCCAGCATGGCACAGACGCCCCAGCCTGTGCCAAGTTGGGGTTTTGGGGGAGCTGGCCGGGGCTCTGGCTTCCTGGCCTGGGGATACCAGTGGGGGGTGGGGTCATGTTGACAAGGGGGGTGGGGGTGCACTGGGGTGAATCCGAACCCAAGCGGGCAGCGGGACTCAACGGGGCGGTGTGTGATCGGGGGAGAACAGAGATTAATTTAAACCTTGGGGTGTTCCAGGTCGGGTGCCCCATCTGATCACCCCCCAGCCCGCTTCCTCCTGCCCCTCGGCTCTGGGGCGACAGGAGTTTGCCCCCCAGTAGCGGCTCGTTCCCCCCCAGCAGGGCTCTGAAGACCAAGTTGTTGCCTCGATGGACCCCCAGTGTCTCGACTCAGCACCGTCCCTGCCGCGGCCACGCTCAGCCGCTGGTTTCCCGCGGAGCCGCTCGGACCGTCAGGCTGGCCTTGCTCCCGGCACCTTGTCTGTCCTGAAGACGAGACCGTGACTTGCTACAAAGGGGCTTTTCGTTTGCCCGCAGGGCCGGCCTGGTCGCCCGCTGCCCCGGCCCCCTCGGGCTCCGTCCCCGTGCGTTTGATACCAGCTGTGACCCGAGGGCTCCCCGGTCCCTCTGGCTGAGCGCGATTAAAAAACCCGAGTGACTGAAAACGAGGGCGGCGACCGTTGAGTTTATTCCAACCTGGCCAAGTGCTCGGCCTCCAGTTGCCGCTGCGGACGGGCCGGCGGCCTCCAGCGGGCGGCTTTCCGGCGGGCTCGCGTCTCGGCCCTGCTCTGCGTCACGTCCTGACCGACGAGCCCGGCCAGGCTCTGCCTTGGCACAGGGTGGCCCCCGCCCTTCGGCCTCCGCTTAGCCGGGCCGGGGCTCGCGGTGCCCGCTCCCTTCTGCCGGGCCGGGGGTTTAGCTGCGGGACCCTCCGCTATGAGGCCTGGCAGGAAAGGGCGGGCGTAAGGCCTCCGGGCCGCGGTCAGGCCCTGCTTGCGCCTTCGCTGGCCGGGACGTGACCACACGGGGTTGCAAAACCACAAACGTTCCTAAGAGGGGCCAGGCACCGGGTGCTCGTGTAAACACGCTCCAGAGGGATCGTGCCAGGACCCCCCCCCCCAACCTCCCCCCCCGATACTGCGATACGGTGTGAACGCCTCGGAAAGATGAACTACGGGGGGCGGATAGAGATATTTGGATCAACCCGACCAGTACAAGGCAGAGGGTGGTGACTGACCCCTGCAGTGGGGCAAGACGTAACTTGTTCGTGTTGGTGCATGAAAGAGGGGTCCCCAGGGGGAGGGGGCCCCGAGGGGGCGTCCGGCTGGCCGAGGGCGGGAGGGAAAGTCCGGTTGCTCACTGAGCTGGTCCGTTGTCGTGGGGGTTGCGTGTCTGAGTGTCCCTCTTATGGGGCGCTCTCCCCTGCCGATACACCTGGCCGGGCGCCTTCACCGCTGAGCCGAGCTGGGGGGCTGCGTGGGCGGCTGTCTGCCCAGAGCCGGTGCAGCGCGTCCAGAGAATGTGCACGCAGCCACCAAGGGACGGGGAATGGGGCCTTTCCCCTCTAGGGGGCGCCAGCTCCCATCTGACCCCGGGGCGGGGGCTGATTGGCTTGGGGGGCTGCAAATTGGGCTCGGGCCCTTTCCTTTTTAGGGGGCACCGGCTCCCACCCAGACCAGGGCAGGGACTGGCTGGCTCCGGGGGTCAGGGAAAGAGACACGGGGCCTGTTCCCACTAGGGGGCACTGGCTGGCTGAGGGGGTCAGGGAATGGGGCGTGGGGCCTGGCCCCTCTAGGGGGTGACCCAGCCCCAGGGCAGGGCCTGGCTGGCTCTGGGGGTCAGGGAAAGAGACACGGGGCCTGTTCCCACTAGGGGGCACTGGCTGGCTGAGGGGGTCAGGGAATGGGGCGTGGGGCCTGGCCCCTCTAGGGGGTGACCCAGCCCCAGGGCAGGGCCTGGCTGGCTCCGGGGGTCAGGGAAAGAGACACGGGGCCTGTTCCCACTAGGGGGCGCTGGCTGGCTGAGGGGGTCAGGGAATGGGGCGCGGGGCCTGGCCCCTCTAGGGGGTGACCCAGCCCCTCTAGGGGGTGACCCAGCCCCAGGGCAGGGCCTGGCTGGCTCCAGGGGTCAGGGAAAGGGACACGGGGCGTGTTCCCACTAGGGGGCATGGCTGGCTGAGGGGGTCAGGGAATGGGGCGTGGGGCCTGGCCCTCTAGGGGTGACCAGCCCCAGGGCAGGGCTGCTGGCTCCGGGGGTCAGGGAAAGAGACACGGGGCCTGTTCCCACTAGGGGGCACTGGCTGGCTGAGGGGGTCAGGGAATGGGGCGCGGGGCCTGGCCCCTCTAGGGGGTGACCCAGCCCCTCTAGGGGGTGACCCAGCCCCAGGGCAGGGCTTGGCTGGCTCTGGGGGTCAGGGAAAGGGACACGGGGCGTGTTCCCACTAGGGGGCACCGGCTGGCTGAGGGGGTCAGGGAATGGGGCGTGGGGCCTGGCCCCTCTAGGGGGTGACTCGGCCCCTCTAGGGTGTGACCCGGCCCCAGGGCAGGGCCTGGCTGGCCCGGGACATGCCCCCACCCCCAGGGTAAAGGCTCCCCGGGCTCTGTGCCCTCCGGCCCAGGGGCTATGTGGCACCTGGAGTTTTACTGACGGGAGCCCCCCAGAACCGAACCCGCAGAGCTGGGCCTGGCCCCGTCCTTCCAGAGCAGCCCGACCTCGGCGCAGCAGAGCTCCCGGCTTTAACCCGGACAGGGCGCAGGTGCGTTCAGCCCCGGTCTTGCCCCAGGGCGGGTGTCCCCGCCCCGCCACTGGGGCGGCCCCCCCGAGGTTCCCCCTAACAGCCAGGCCCCCGTCTGGCACGGGGCCAGCACCGCTCTCCCGTTCCCAAATTCTGGCCCCGAAGGTGAATTCGGACCTGGCTTGGTCTCGCCGCAGGAGCTCCCGGGGGGGCGCCGGGGCCCGGCGGCTCAGTCCCGGAGTCAGTGAGCCCCCCCAGCACGGCGTTGGCCCTTGGGGGGCCGGCACGGGATCGGGGGTCGCGGCCCGGCAGTGGATTAGCGGCGGTGCGGCAGGATCCTGGGGCCCCCGGCTGCTCTTGGCTCTCTCTCCCCGGCTCCCTGCGGCCCCGATCCCTGGCCCTGCTTTGATCCCTCATTGCGCCCCTTTGCCTGGTGCTCTGGGGCTCTGCCTTGGGGGCCTTGGGTGGGTGGGTGGGGGTCACTGCAGCACCTGGCGCGATGGAGATCTCGGTACAAGGGGGGGCCGCACAGGGCCCAGATGTCGGTCGGGGGGGGGGTCACTGCAGCGCCTGGCGCGATGGAGATCTCGGTACAAGGGGGGCCGCACAGGGCCCAGATGTCGGTCGGGGGGGTCACTGCAGCGCCTGGCGCGATGGAGATCTCGGTACAAGGGGGGCCGCACAGGGCCCAGACGTCGGTCGGGGGTCACTGCAGCGCCTGGCGCGATGGAGATCTCGGTACAAGGGGGCCGCACAGGGCCCAGATGTCGGTCGGGGGGGTCACTGCAGCGCCTGGCGCCATGGAGATCTCGGTACAAGGGGCCGCACAGGCCCAGACGTCGGTCGGGGGGTCACTGCAGCGCCTGGCGCGATGGAGATCTCGGTACAAGGGGGGCCGCACAGGGCCCAGACGTCGGTCGGGGGGGGTCACTGCAGCGCCTGGCGCGATGGAGATCTCGGTACAAGGGGGCCGCACAGGGCCCAGACGTTGGTCGGGGGGGGGCCCTGTGCAGCGCCTGGCGCGATGGAGATCTCGGTACAAGGGGGGCCGCACAGGGCCCAGACGTCGGTCGGGGGGGGGTCACTGCAGCGCCTGGCGCGATGGAGATCTCGGTACAAGGGGGGCCGCACAGGGCCCAGACGTCGGTCGGGGGGGGGCCCTGTGCAGCGCCTGGCGTGACAGGGCCCCGATCTCACTTGTTACCGTCTTCCCCCCAGCGTGCCGGTCTCGGGAGCGGCAGAGGGTGTCCCCTAAACCCAGCGCCAGGCGCTCGGCCTCCGGACTCCGATCAGCTGGGCCGGGGCTCGCGGTGCCTGGCGGTGGCTGGAGGAGATAAGAGCCTGTTTGCGTGGAGTGGAAAGCGGCCAGGAACGCCTCCCACCCACCGGGCCAGGGAGCTGCGGTGGTGGGGCCGGGACCCCCCCTGCTCCTCCCCAGCAGTGGCTGCTTCTGGGCAGGCACCAGAGCCGCCTCACCCCCTTTTTTATCCATCCCTGCAGCCCCCCGCTTTGGGGAAACTGAGGCTTGGAGCATGCGTCCAGCTCCAGGGTGGCCTGGGGACCTAGCCTGTGAGTCCCAGAAAGGAAGTGGCGTATTCTGGATAGAACCCAGGAGTCCTGGCTCCCAGCCCCCCCCTGCTCTAACCACCAGACCCCACTTCCCTCCCAGACCCAGGGAGAATCATAGAATCATAGAATATCAGGGTTGGAAGGGACCCCAGAAGGTCATCTAGTCCAACCCCCTGCTCGAAGCAGGACCAATTCCCAGTTAAATCATCCCAGCCAGGGCTTTGTCAAGCCTGACCTTAAAAACCTCTAAGGAAGGAGATTCCACCACCTCCCTAGGTAACGCATTCCAGTGCTTCACCACCCTCTTAGTGAAAAAGTTTTTCCTAATATCCAATCTAAACCTCCCCCACTGCAGCTTGAGACCATTACTCCTCGTTCTGTCATCTGATACCATTGAGAACAGTCTAGAGCCATCCTCTTTGGAACCCCCTCTCAGGTAGTTGAAAGCAGCTATCAAATCCCCCCTCATTCTTCTCTTCCGCAGACTAAACAATCCCAGTTCCCTCAGCCTCTCCTCATAAGTCATGTGTTCCAGACCCCTAATCATTTTTGTTGCCCTTCGCTGGACTCTCTCCAATTTATCCACATCCTTCTTGTAGTGTGGGGCCCAAAACTGGACACAGTACTCCAGATGAGGCCTCACCAATGTCGAATAGAGGGGAATGATCACGTCCCTCGATCTGCTCGCTATGCCCCTACTTATACATCCCAAAATGCCATTGGCCTTCTTGGCAACAAGGGCACACTGCTGACTCATATCCAGCTTCTCGTCCACTGTCACCCCTAGGTCCTTTTCCGCAGAACTGCTGCCTAGCCATTCGGTCCCTAGTCTGTAGCGGTGCATGGGATTCTTCCGTCCTAAGTGCAGGACCCTGCACTTATCCTTATTGAACCTCATCAGATTTCTTTTGGCCCAATCCTCCAATTTGTCTAGGTCCTTCTGTATCCTATCCCTCCCCTCCAGCGTATCTACCTCTCCTCCCAGTTTAGTATCATCCGCAAATTTGCTGAGGGTGCAATCCACACCATCCTCCAGATCATTGATGAAGATATTGAACAAAACCGGCCCCAGGACCGACCCTTGGGGCACTCCACTTGATACCGGCTGCCAACTAGACATGGAGCCATTGATCACTACCCGTTGAGCCCGACAATCTAGCCAGCTTTCTACCCACCTTGTAGTGCATTCATCCAGCCCATACTTCCTTAACTTGCTGACAAGAATACTGTGGGAGACCGTGTCAAAAGCTTTGCTAAAGTCAAGAAACAATACATCCACTGCTTTCCCTTCATCCAGAGAACCAGTAATCTCATCATAGAAGGCGATTAGACTAGTCAGGCATGACCTTCCCTTGGTGAATC